ATATCAAATAATTAAATTAATTTAGTTTATTTGACTTTAATATCCATAACAAACTTAATATATGATTCATTTGTATGTAATTAATTTTCAGTTAATTTAGTGGAGTTTGATAAATCTATTAAGCCCTTGTTTAACATTGCTCTTGAAAATAGTTTTATATTCAAAACTATTTTTTATCTAAACGTAATATTAAATAATAAAAAAAATTTTATTTTTCAAACCAAATAAAAAAAACTCCTCAAGAGGTGTTTTTATAGTGAAAAAATGTATTTGAGATAAAATATTGCTTTCTTATCTCTGTATTTTTAATATTTTATTATTTTATATATATTTTTAGACGTTTCAATTACATACAATATTTTTTTACACTTTAGATGGTAGACCGTACATAATTTTTTTTTTATTGATTAATTTTGGTATTGTAATCAAGAGAATTATAGGTGGTATGAATATTTTTTTCTAACCTAAACTTTTTAAAACCTTAACAACAATGTTAACTAGTCCTAAATTTTCCTTTTTGGAATATGCAATTCACTGTTAAATACTTTTTCATTTTTGGTTAATTTATATATTAAATTCACTACTCAATATTCATAGTATTATAAATCATTGTACATTTAAATATAATGGTTAAACAAGTTTGTTTATATATTTATGAGTAATTTATGAAAAAACTTTTAAGTATTGAGTTTTAATTCTGGACCTTTTAAACATTGAGTTTAGAAAAAAAATCTTTTAAATATTTAAAAATCAGTAAAAATTTTCACTAATTTATTTATATATGAATACTATATTTCTAATTATATCTATGATTAAAATTTAATAATTTTGAGTTAGATAAAAAATAATTAAAAAATAATTAAAAATTAATTAAAAATAAAAATAATTTTAAAAAATATTAATCATAGATTTAATTAGAAATACACTTATTACCTTTAGATAAAGTAATAAAAAAATCCACTACTGTTTAAGTAGTAGACAGGGTCTTTTGAATCTTCACCTCTTAAATAAACCACTAACCAACTTCTATGCAAATGAACTGTTTTGCTCGAGTACGGATATTTGTGTTAACATTTTTATGCAAATTAGCAGCATTATAGGTTTACTTGAACTGACTGTAAAATTTATTTCAAGATCAATAACTCAATAAATTACATCATTGAAAATAAGAAAAAAAAACCTCTACATTTCTAGTCATACCTCATACCTGTGTCTCATCATTGCAAGAAAAAACCTATGAAACAGTGATAGTTACTGTTGCAAAAACAGGCAATGGTGAAGAGATTAATACTAAGTAAATAAAGGAAAAACAAGTTCAAGATGAAGTTAACAAGAAAAACATAAAGCAAAACATGAAAAATTAGCTTAGGAATTAATTAATGACATGTAAAATGATGATGCAACACCTCATCCAAGAAAATACGTGGTAATTTTAGATACGATGTAAAACTTATAATAAAATATATGAAAATAATACAATTTATTTGATAAAATTATATAAAAATTTAATAAAAATTAAAAAAATATTTTATGTTCAGTATTAACATAAATTATAACACAATAATTTTTATGTTTTAAATGAGTTTAATATAAAATAAATATGATTCAATACACGGCCATATATCCTAAGAACAATGAAGCCGATGTTGAGAATATATATATATATATATATATATATATGCAGTCAAAAGAGAACAGCAAGAGCATGAGTTTAGAAAGCAAATTAGAAGAGTTGTGAAAAGTGATATTGGCGCGGCTCAATCTGAGATCGTATTTTACTATTGAATCCATGCGTAAATCCGTCTTCGGATTGAACCTCACCAACATCGCTTTCTTTTTTGCTTCCCAAGCAACCAGCAATTAAAGTTCTCTCATGAGATAAGAAAAAAAAGGCAAAGAAAAATCAAAATAAAGCTCCCGAATGATCATCCCACGAATTCTACGATGAAACAAACCGCGGGTTTTGAAGCTTTTATATACTTGCATGCCTGGTGTCGCCCTTACGAACCAAAAAGAAGAAGAAAAAAGAGGACTTGAATAAAGAAGAGTTAGATATGGCCCCATGACAACACAATATATTAATCTTTTTTCAGTTTCTCTGGTAGGGCAAAAGGTGCCTAGCTTCATGGAGTAGAAGGTGGAGATGGTGGTTTTGTTGGTGGTTGGAAATGATAATTAATGACAAAGTGGGATCTCAAAATCATGATTTGTTTTCCTTCAATTGAGTCAAAATCAAGGCAATTTGATGCAAAACTATTACTGTGTCTAGTCAGTGAAGTTAATTATGAGGGGAAAAAAAGAATTGGATAAAAGAAATTACAGCAGAGGAAAAAACCACCTAAAGAACCAATTATTATCCAAAAAAGAGACAGGGAAACACAGTAAAAGATGATGTTTCTGGGTGCACCAAGACATAACATGTTGCTGTTTAGGAATATGAGAAAAACAAAAGACAGATGAAAGAGACATACTTCTGTTCACTATTGATAGAATGTCTATGGTAAAACCTTAAAGTTTTCAGCAAACTATATTTAAAGCATTGTTCATCATGGGGTACCACTCAAATCAATCAAAAAACAAGGCATATTTTTCAAATGGTTTAACTCAATTGGGGTTTAAAGAGGAAAAAAAAAGGGAATTGACAACACACGACGAAAAGATTGTCAACAAAAGAAACAACCATATAAGTTATACAACTTTATTTGATCCGGGAGGGAAGAATTAAGAGAGTGATTATGGGGGTCGACAAGAGACTATGGCTGAGAAAAGGGAGAAAAGAAAGGGAGATTAGGGTTTGAGATGAAGAAGGGAATTATAGGGGTAGGGGAGGCAAAGAATGTTATAACAGGGAGGTTTTGCCTCGGGATGGGGAGGTGAAGGAGGTGAGGGGAATGATGTCAAGAGGGAGCAAAACTTACTTTTTAGGGTTTGCCATGCTTAGTTTGCACTCAATAAAAATCAAACTCCTTCTCTTGCGCATGCACCTGAAAATATTCTCCTCCAAAAGAAAAAAAAAAAAAAACTACCTTTATATATCATGCTTGCATTTGATTAATCAAGTGAACAGATATTGCTAAAGAGAGAATAAAATTGTTGGCTTATATGTACATAACTGTATAAACAAATCTATCTATACATGCAGCAGCTACTATTGATTGAAATATTTATATACATATACGAATTAAAAAATTAATTTAATCGATTCATTAAATTACTTTTAAAAAATAATATCTAGTAAATTTTAATTCAAGAGTATGTAATTCTTTTTTTTATTTATAGATTATGAACTCCTTTATTAAAAAAAAAAAGCTAATTATATGGAAATAATTCTATTTAAAATATCTGGTGAAGATACTTATAACGCATGGTCTCTTGAAGTTAATAAGTAGTATCTTATTTATGGATATTTCAAGCAATTTGAACGATGATTTAGGATATATGGAATTTTGTGGATTAACGAAATCTCCTTGTTATGCATATAATTATTAATACTATAGCAAATGAGATCAGCTTAATTATACTAATTAACAAGTTAATATACGTTCTCCTTGGCAGCTTATACGAATCTAAGTTAAAATTGTGAGCTCGCTATAGATACATGATTATAATATACCTATATGTACATAATTAGATTTATACAAATTGTAGAAAATTAAACTGCTCACCGCCCTTCCTCTCTTAGGCTCTCCCAATGGGTGCCAATCCACTTGGCTATACAGAGAAGTGAAGGTATCCATATTCCATGGTAGAAATTGATGAAAAAAAAAAATTGTCACTAAATATCGGGGGGAAAGAGAGTGAGAGTGAGAGTGAGAGTGAGGGCGGGGAATCTTGGGAACAGGAGCGCAGAATGTCAGCGAAGGGGATTGTCTGGTAAGTAGTTTCCAATGGGTACGTACAAAGTTGTTTACCAAAAAACAAATTCTTTAAATTCCACACGTAAACGCATATAGCAATTAGCGAATAGGCAAGATTTGCCACTTGCCAACAACCCAAAGCGGAGACACCGGCGCTAAAGGAGCCCTGCCTTGGGCCTGCCCTAGGGGACACAATCCTTGGGTTTTGCCTACCCTTTTTTGTTCCTTTCTTTCAAAAGAGGGTGGGGGGTCAGTCAGGTCACTCTTTCTTCTTCTTCTTCTCTTTGAAGATTTTGGGAACTGATAAAAAAAAAAAGACCCTTTTTAATTATAAAAAAAAAAAGCCATTCTTCTCACACACTCATGATTCTGGGCGATAAGTTCGCGTGCCACTACTAAAACAGATTCCCCCACGCCTTAAACCATTCCATGCCCTCTTCATTCTACTTTCATCACCAGATCCTATGACTTTTTTTTTCTCATTTTTTTGCTTATTCTTAGTCTCAAGACTATGGAGGAGAGGTCAAAAGCTATTCTATAACTATAGCATAAACTTTAGCCTCTTTTTTTTCCTCATTTCTCATTATTTTTTATACTTTTGAACCACCACATGCTTTGTATGTGTGACAAAATTTACAATTTCAAGAGCAGGGATAAGGGACACGCATCAAATATCCAATCCATTGCTGAGACAATATAAAGAAAATTGATATGTACAAGAAATAATGTAATTATTTACAACTTGCTTTCTTTTTATTAAACAGATCAAAGTTTCAAATTCGAATTTACTTTGGAATCAAACAGTGGTACATATATTCTACAGATTCTGCAAAATGAAGAGTTGGAACATAGATTTCCAAGGTTGGATTAATGATATTGAAAGTCTTGATTAAAAGGGTGGGACAAAGAGACACACATGTTTCTACTCATGCAGAGATTTCTTAAAGTTTTATGGTACATGTTGGCTTTTATTCTTTGATTAGGAAAAGAAAATATACTTTTCTTAGCATATCTCCAATGAAGAGAGTAGCTGAATGACTTTTGATTTTCGAAGTTTCCTCCTTTTTTTTTACCTCTTTTGTTTTATCAATGGAGAGATTTAGCACGATTTCTCAGGCTTCATGTACCCATTCGGAACCAAAAAATAAAGAAATAAAAAGGAACTTTCTTTGACTAAAACTTTTGATCGGACTTAAACATCAAGATCAATGGCATTGTGACCATAGTCAACAAAGGAAGTTGTTGACCTGTTCCGGATCACTGGTAGGAAGGGTCAAGAAAGTGCATTAGAGAACATAGAAGCAAGATTTAAGCTTTCGCAAAATGTGGGCAAGGGGTTTGTTTCAATCTTGCAAGGCAACTAGGTCAAACTCTGTTGTCAGCTTGTGGAGACAAGAAATACAGACACTCCCCTCTTCATGAACTTGAGTTTGCTAACCATCTCTCTCTCGTATTATATACGCTTGTACTATTAGAATTTAGATTTTTCTGTCCACACCACACATGGGAGAGCAGGAGTTACCTCCTAGAATCTCCCCCCACCCCCCAAAAGAATATATATTTGCTCCGTAATAAGTGGATAGCAGAAGCCGTTTGCTTTTGTAAAAGATTCAGGCATAAATGGACACAATTTCACTTTTTTGGGTACTTAAGGGACACCTGAACTGTCCCGAGTCAGTGGGGCACACCATAGAAACGAAGAAAAAAAATGAAATTAGTTCATGAATTGTCCACACATTATAATAATGTTTCGAGTGTCAGAGCAATGGTAGCGATATTCTGCTTTGAACTGAAACAATGAGTTCTTGTAGTACAAGAAAGCTGGTCACTTGCAAAACATGAAAAGAAATTTAAGATCGCTTACCGTTAATCCCAAGTAGTCTTGCAAACGAATAACCAAGGAAATAATCAGCCATTAGGTATTGTCCCTAGAACGTTATATCTATATGCCTGTATTCTTATTTTGTTTAGACCATTCTTGGTTCTACCATCGACCATCGCTTTGCAGTCAGTTAAGTATTCAGATTATATAATTCACTTATCAGATTTGTGTAGTAGAAGAATCGAAATCAAGCAACTGCCATGTATGGCCAGGCCAGCGGGAGTGTTAAGTATTAGTCTCCAGAGAGAGATGTAAGCTAAAGGGCATCACAATGCACGAGGCTCTTCCATTGTGGGGTTTGGGAACTGGGAAGGGTCAGATATACGCACCTTGTTGTGCAAAGAAGCTGTTTACCATGACTTGAACCTGTGACCTCCGTGTCAAAATGGAGCAATATTGTTGCACAAAGGAATATAATTGCTATTTGAATAATCATTGATAACCAGCCAAAGCTACCAAGTATCCACAGCAAAAAGTTGAGGCAAAAATATGATAGGACGAAGGTTGTTTGGTGGATAGAAAACTGTGAAAACATCCACCTAAATGATACCAAGGTCCAAAAAAGGGGAACTAAATTCTGAAATTTGGTGAAATCAAATTTTGGCAACTTCAAATTTTCTTTTAGAATGGTTAATATTTGTCATTCTACGATCAGCTAGAAGGAGAAATCAATAGTCTTTAGAATCCACCAATTTCCTGTTGATGACATTGAAGAGTACAAGAGCACCCGTTCCTCTTGTACACCTAAATGCTTGCCTCTTCGTGCAGGAACTTTGACTGTGGAAACAGACATTCATGTTTGCTCTAGAGTATTGATCTTTGAATCAAAATTTTGGAGAAGATAAGGTAGCAGTATTTGGCCATTAGATTATTTACCTCCAGTATGAGGCTCTCGAGCAGCGGCCATGTGTTTATTTTCCTTTGAGTTTACAGTACGCATAAAAACATGATCCCGAAAACCCAAGAGATTGGCCAACAACATTCATCTGAAAGCAAGAAACAGGAAAGTAGGTGACATAAAGATCTCAGGTTAACTGAGACTTTCATGTTGCGGAACCCGCAAAACTTTTTGACAATGAGTGGTAGCCCATACTTACCAAATCAAATGGAAGCCCACCAAACAGTAGCCATCCCAGTCCAATGGTAAAAAGATCCTACCACAATTCAATTATGCATCACCAAAATTCAAGAGGATAAGTTACATGAAAGGCAGAGAAAAATCAAGCATCTATTGCACCAGTAAGACATTTTGCAGGCGAAATAGAGACCAAATAAAAACCATTAAGTTCACAAGAAATACAGAGTTTTTACCCATGCATACCCATAAGAGTTGAAGCAACACTGTTTTTCCCTACTGTAAGATGACTTTTAAGTCCTTAAACAGCCATCAAATCGTGATTGATGAACCTTCTAGACATTCAAGAGACTGAATATAAGACCAGGCAATTCATTACTGCAGCTTAAAATTAGTTTAGATAGAAAACTAAAAATTTCAAGCACAGTGATCTATTGGTCTCCAAAATGCTACACCACATTTGAGCCTTTAACTCCTCTCCCATAATATTTCTTCCGTCCCAACATGTTAAAAAACGAGAATCACACTTTACAGTGATAAAACATCAAAGCCATTGACTGCATTACGTAAAATTAACATCAAATGGACAAATATGTTATATTAAACCAAAGCTAGAATAAGTGATCACACCTTCAAATTGCCACATATTGTCTGCGTCAGAGCTGAATTAAGTGTTGTATTCAAGAATACATAATAATTTATCAGGAAAGCCATGATACAAGAGAGAAGCATCACAACCTGCATAACATACAAATAGTTTAATTGTAAAAGAGTTTAAATCCTATAAAGTTTTTCCAATCTCATGTCATCATAGTTATTCATTAGGGTTGGTACAATCTTGGCGTAACTTTAAAGAAGCTATGAAATTTGCCTAAATGAGTTAACAGAAGAAAGCAGTCCAAAAGAAAACAGTTAAGAAAAGCTTTGTAGCCAGGGAAAGCAATAAAACCAAGTCTGCATGACACAAAAGATCGGTAATTAACACCACCAAAAAAAAAAGTGACTGAACTAGCAAAACCAAACAATACGATCAACTAACTCCAAATTTAATAAAGTATGAAATCTTTTAGGTAAGGAAAGAAAGTTGATTGACATGGAAAGTTTGAAAAAATGAAAGAGGCATGAAAAAGTAGTGAAGAGTGAAGACCAAACCAGCAAGACTAGAATAAGTAGCAATGACAGCAAAAAAGAAAGGAAGGAAGACAAAGTAAAACAGAAAACGCATAGTAACTGCAAATCTTGATGACATGTTGCGGCTTGAAACAAGACTTTTAGGTCATGTTTGGTGCATAAGATGATAAATAGGATAGTATGATAATCATTCTATATTATGTTTGGTTTATATCTAATTGGAAGGGATAGAATTATAAGGAAGATTATCATCCTTTTGGTATAGAATAATTCTATCCTCCAAAAGTGGAGAGGATTATTTTTAATCCATGAGATTAAAATTTACATATCTTATTATACCCTTACAAATTACATCAATAATTTAAATTGTATAAACTTTGAAAAAGGATAATTTTGACAATAAATAAATTATCCTATCTTATTCTTTGCACACATCAAATATAAGATAGGATGATACTATTTAATCTAATCTTATTCATAATATCATCTTATCCTATCCTATAATAATATTGTGTACCAAACATGATCCTAATGTATTCTATCAGCACTATTTCCCTTTCTGGCAAGTCAATAAGTTAGAATAAACCATCCAATTAATCATATTGTAACAGGTATTATAGCTGAGACCCTTTTTTTATGAATTATAGCTAAGAACTAAGCAGGAGTATTAATAGATGGATTTGCAAAATAGCTAACAACGAATGCACTTACTTTCTTAACAACATCATGAGGAAAAGGATACATAGTAAGGAAAATTATTTTGTGAAAAGGAAGCACCTGGAACCCTCTAGAATGAAGATAAGGGAAGCTCATCATCGCATCAAGGTCACCTTTGAATGATGTCCAAAATAACAAGATTGGTGCACAAATTATTCCTTCAAGAATCAATAAAAAATTCGTAGAAGTTCAGATAAGCCTAATTTGTAATTTTTAGATGTAAAAGAATATAAGAACAATTCTGTTAGTCCTTTAATCTTACCATTGCACCACATAAGGCCAAAGCTATTAAGGCCACTGGATTTACCTGAAACGTTTGAGAATATTCACAAATAAATAGAAAGAAATTAACATTCTATGGGAGATAAAGAAGAGACAAAAATGGGATAATACCAATGCGAGCAATGGAAGCAAGATATATTGCTGAGCAGATGTTTGCTATAAAAACAATGGAATAGCTATAGGCATCAAATGACAAGTCGCGAGCTCCAGCAACAAATGCCCCAAGTATAATAATCCCCACACTGATGAAATCCTTGGAATAGGCCATTAAAAAAGTTATTAGCCACGTTTTGAACATTCAACAGAGTGATGAATAAAAGACATGTCATATATAAAATTGCAAGAACATGAAAACTATAGCTATCAAACTTTCTCTAGAAAATGACATCTTGTTTTGTTTTCACGCTTAAAACAACTTGAGGAATTTTAAAACAGAATATGAAACTAACATATTAAATGATTTTTGCACCTCAAGCAAACTTAAATTTTAAAAATCTAGAATAACTCAAATTCCTAGAATAACCTATAAAATTTACCTGAGAAATAAAAGCAACCATAACATCAAAGTGTTTTTTTGATCATGTGGGAAAAAACCCAAGAAATGAAATTAAAGTATTATGTAGGGCTCCAAATTCATGGTTGTTAGATCAATCTTCATATCAATATTGTGCACTAACAGATTAATAGCTTCAACCTTATGCCAATTCTGATGTTGAAAAAGGAAGCAAAAATCCACTTTAGCAGCGCGTTATAATTTTGTCCATGTTCTTGTTACCACCACATCCCTTCTTCAAAATCAATTTTTTTTTAATTACCTTTTATAATTAATCTTCCATGTCTACCAAAACAATTTTTTTTCATCCTTTTTCTACATTTTCATCCACATTCAGTTGCCTCCTTGTGCAATCTTATAGCACTTGTAGATATAACACAACCTTGCTGGGTCTAAGTATCACATTCATATTGCAAGCAGATACCAACAAAAGTATCTCTGTTCACATTCAACAGAGAACTTCATTAAAAGTCATAAACTTGCATTTAGAAAACTAAATTCTCCAAGATAAACTTAATGAGGATAACAAATTTTAACTGTTCTCCAAGGCAGTTTTACATTTTCACACCCATTAACTATTTTTCAAATGATATGTCATCTTTTTCAAGGATATATCCATAATTGCAGAAACCAATGTTGCCATTATCATATAATGCATACCGCTATGCCCAGTTGTCTAAACTTAATTCTTCCAGTCAACCACAATATTCAAAAGTGAAACTTCGTATGTGTTCAAGATATAAGAGCTCAAAATGGAAGGAATGCTCTGAGCTTTGTAAATATAAAAGCAATGCATTCTTATTTATGAATGCAGAACTCTAAGAAATCCCAGTAGTCCAAGCTTAATTCTTCCTGTTAACCGCAATATTCAAGAGTGAAACTTCAGACTTACGACAACAACAACAACAACAACAAACTAAGCCTTATATGTCACAATTATCCCCACTCCATTTCTACTCCTATCTTTACATGTGAGTGAAACTTCAGACATGAGGGCTCAAAATGGCAGGAATGCTCTGACTTTGTAACTATAAAAGCAATGAATTCTTATATATGATGCAGTACTGTAAGGAACCCAGTTGTCTAAATTTAATTCTTCGTGTCAACCACAATATTCAAAAGTGAAACTTCATGTGTGCAAGGCATGAGAGCTCAAAATGGCAGGGATGTTTCGAACTTTGTAAATGTAAAGGCAAGGCATTCTTATTTATGATGCAGAAGGTGGATGCACTCCACAGCCCATATGTACATACATGCAGAAGCCTTAAGCACAATGAATGACCCAATTGTTAGACGAATAGAATATGAAAGGGCTCCATACCTGCCAACGACATATGATGAGTGTTTCCGCCCTGTTAAAAGATACTCCACAATCATGGTAAAAGCCACAGTAGTCCGCCTTAAGGTGGTGTACATAGGAACATTTATGCCACGAACAGATTCCATGGTGATTAACTTTAACACGACAAGCAAGTGAAAGGGAACGATTAGAAGAAAGATTAAATTTTCACCAAGCACACATAAAACCAAATATACACCCTCTAATACATACCATGTATAGCAAATATGAAACTGCCAGAGGGAGCGTATGAATCAGTGTCTTCAATGGTATTAAGGTTATCGGGTTACCAGTAATGCTCTGTGGCTCCCCCTCTGTGAAAGAGATGATCTTCCAGCGCTTCATGGCATAGAGAAATGCACACGAACATGACATCTAAATATGCATAAGAATAACTTGATTTATAAACTAATAAGAGGAGGCCAAATTTAATGCATTTTGGTTCAATTGTCAAACTCCAAATGTCAGGCAGGGTGGCAAGAACTGAACTCTAAATAACATGAAATTGAACGAAATTAAATAGAAAATTGTCAAACTAAATTTCTAAAAAACAATAAGTATTGATTTATGAACTGTCAAAAGATAACAAAAGACCTAAATACATGTAAAATCTAGTTATTACAGTCAAAAGTATATCTAGCTTTTTTTAGGAGAGGGGGTTATACAAGTAAAGGAAGGCGATTTTGGATCTTTTTATGCACTCTTTCAATCATGCAAAAATTACAATGGATCACATACTACTACCATAAATCCATAATCCTTTACCTCAATATAGCTATCATTGATTTTTCAAAAAGTTCAACAGTTAGTGCAGGTTGCTGATGATTTGATCTAGTATGTTTTAATAGAGGATGGTTATCAATTAATTGGCAAAGTTAGTTCAAGTAGCAAAGATCTCTTTTCTTTTTATAACCTTTTCAAGAGAATGTCATTGGTATTTGAACCTTTATGTTGTAACGTAAATGAAGAGTTCTTTAGATATCATAGCTGGCTAAGCACTTCAAAGACCAGATCAGTATGGCACATGCTATGGAGACAAAAAGTAATTCAAAAGTGACAAAAATTGCATAAGCAGTGACCAAGAACCTGAAAATAGGACAGAAAATGACATCAACATGACTGAAACTGTACGGGAGGAAGGGGAATGAGAAATTGGATGAGAACTTCCTGATTCAGATAGAAAACAGAAATTTTCATTTTATCTTCACACTGAAGCTTCAGTAACATTATATCCAGTGTAAAGGATTAGGATTTTTAAATTACAAATCTGAAGATATCTTACAATTGAACGCTTGAACACTGATTACTGTTGGTTTCATAAGTTACTCAAAAAAAAGAATTCGTTCCCTCTTTATTTCTGTATTTCTTTTTTTTTTTTTCGGAAAATGAACAAGCAAATTCACACATATATTTTAAGTGAGAGAGCTTCAACTTTCAGAATCTACCTAGGATTAAAATTGTCATTAACCAGTTCTTTAGATCTTTACCACTTATTTCATTCACTTTTGTATATCTTGCTCTGTTCATGAACTTTCTGAGGTTATATTCAACTTTCTAGTAAGGGAACTTAAGCTGCTAGCAATTGTTTATGCAGAAAATTGTCATTGAAAATCTTAAAAAATAAGATATTCCATTAAGTCCTTCAACTGGTAGAATATTTAACTATTCTACCAAGCAAACATACTTAGGCTAGATTTAACTATTCTACTAAGCAAACATACTTAGGCTAGCTCAAGAAACCAACTTAGCAAGTGATCTACCTGAAAAAGTGTTATTACGTTTACATATGGAAAGCTGTAAGAAGAAAGGGCTGCTTTGTTGAACAGAACCAAGAGAACTGCAGAGAGAAAAGAAAGGCATAATCACAAAAGAGAAATTAGCAGTGTTGGTGGAGAAAAGTTAATTAATCAAAAATGGCAAGTGAAGTGGCTGAAGGTGTTTCAATAAATAACTAGAACCAGTTTTACTATCACTCTTGCATCAAAATTACACAAAAACCAAAGCTGAAAGCCTGTAGCTTACAAGAAGCACAAACAGATAAGCAGATGAACTTTTATAATTGATGATAAAAGCAATGGCAATTATTATCTCCATCTCTTCTCTAATTCATGAAGGAATCATCTTCAACTATATAATTAGTAATTAAGAAAAATACGTGAACTTATGATCAGACATAAAGAGAAATGGAGAGATAATCAAATAACATTACCCCTTCCAAAAATAAGTGATTTCCACTAACATCGTTCAAATAAAACAAACCAAACATGGCAAGATTTTGCCAATACTAAGCCAAAATGTCCACCAGAAAATTTGTCTGGTTTTTACAACCTCGGTAACTCCCTAATGCATAGATTCAAAATCAGTTTGTTTGTCAATTGATCTATGAATCATAAAATGTAGCCTCTCTCATCCAAATAAAAAGAATCCTCAAAAATCCAACTTCTTCCCTCACTTAGTGAATGAGCCAAGTAAAGACCGTAACACTGACATTGAATACTTTAGTACATTGTAACTCCAAACAAGACAGAGTGAACGATCATTTGATTATGTAACTAAAGGAAAAAAAATAAACAAAACAAACAGTTTACTCTAGAATTCCTTCTACCAATCTCGATAGTTTATTCGCAAAATTTTCAAGGGAAAATTCGCAATTCTTCCAACACGTCAAATCGGCAGTACAGTTTCATTTTAAGAACATTTGATTCGTTCAATATATTATTTAACACCGATTTAACCACATAAACAAATTTTTTACATTAGTTCTAGTTTAGTATTATTGTTCCATACAAAATTGTCTGCCCCGGAATTTAAGCTTTGCTGGGTCAGAAGAACCAAAAAGAATAAAAATTTTAAAAAAAAATCAGCGATTAAAATTCGTAATAACTTCCCCACTTTATTGATTAAGTTAGATTAAGAAGTTCTCTATCTTCACCCTTTTCCATCCGCAAAGCCTTAGAAACTTTCACAAACGGTTGTGAATTTTGTCACGTGTCCATTTAACACAATATGTTCATTTAATGATTCAATGTTTCTTCTCTTGTTTAAATTCAAGTGTATGCTAAATGACATTTTAAATTCCATAGTAGAATGATGATTTCGTTGTTGTATTCCAAAACTTCATAACCAAACAAGTGATATGAAAAACAACAATCAAAACAGCTAAAAATGATAAAATAAAATTTCGAAAAGAACAAATAAATTCTGATGTCATGCTACTACTTTAATTTTCGAGGAAAGAAGTAAATTGAATAAAAGAATTATTCCACTGAAAAAGAAAAAGAAAAAGAAAAACAACGTAAAAGAAAAAAAGAAGCTTCGTAGGTGATAATGTGGACAAGCAAACAGAAAAAAAAAATAGAGTTTTGAAATATTGAGACCTGCACTGCACATGTAGCCAAGAGCAGCGTGCGCTCCTTTGCTGGGGAAGGCTGAGACAACGGCGGTTTCACGTCGGCGTTCGATTTTGGAGGGATCCGTTAGTGGCAAAACTTCCTTCTTTTTGGAATCCATGGCCAAATTTTCGAATTCGATTTCCTCTTGCGAATCGGGATGAGGGAAACAATATTTAGAGAGTCAAGTCAGCACTGTCCATTTATTGTGGAGAGAAAGAGAGAGGCAAAGGAATATTTGGCGCGTGCAGAGCCCTTGAATGCGTTGGAGTGGACAGGTGGCATCCACACTAAGTTTGGTCCCGGTCCCACCCAAAGATATTACAAATAATAATTAATGACTTTCTCATTCTCAACCATCCTTTCCTCTTCATTTCTTCTTTTCGATTTTTTCTCTTTTTTTTTAGTTTAATCAGTATTATCTAACTTATAATGACTGATAAATATTCTAATACGAAAAAAAAAATGCTTTTAGAAATGAAAACAAAAAAGGAATTTCATGATTGATGTCACCAAGTTTGTCTGAATCTACCCTGTACTTATAGATCAACTTTCCTTTTTTTTTTCCTGTAGGAACTTGGCAGGAGGATAGTATTTGACTGTTTCAACTTTGGTTCCATTAGTGTTTAATAAAAAAATGTAAAAGTTTCTATATTGAAAAGATAAGTAAATACAATATGATGTAATTATTTTTTAAAAATATTTAATAATATAAATTTTAAAACTTGTTAATTGTTCGTATCCTGAAATTGATTGTTACTGTTTTATAAAAATTATAAGTAATTCTTTAAAAAATAACTAAATATTGATTGCAATCACTAATATCATTTGGTTTTGAAATTTTGTAAGTAGGTGTATTTTATTTATAATTTTTTATTATAATATTATAATTATTTAAATTATATAAAAATTTATCAATTATAAATATAAATTTTATATAATTTTAAATTATAATAAATTAATTATAGTACGATAATTATAAATAATATGTCTAATTAAACACTGCTTACTTGATTTCCTCCATTGAGATCTCCATTACCAAAGAAACATTTATCTCATCAGTAACCAAGCAGGGCACAAAATATAACAATTCATCCCAATCTTTATCCCCAATATGTTCTAAACAGGTTCTTATAAGAACAGCTCAAAGCTTTGAAAAATATCCTCCCTTTCTGCATCCATTCTCCATTGTCATCCTTGAGCCTTGAAATCTTATTAAACTGTCCATTCTGCCTAGCAGTATGAAAAAACTTTGTGTTTTTGCCATCCCAAAACAGCCACTTTATCCCAGAGCGCTGGAACCAATTCTTCTCCTCTCTCTGCCATACCTCCTTACTTCCTTCAGTAGGTTTTTTTTTTTTTTTTTCCAAATCATCTAAATTCTGCTCCATTTCTGATTTTTTTTTTCTCTTGAGTTGTGAATGACCTTAAAATTAGTACATAGCACAAAATAACTTGAGTTTTAGGTAAAAAGTTACATGTATGAATTTTTTTAAACAAAAAAGGATTTTTTTTTCCAAGAGAATATATATTTTTAGTTACCAAATAGTGCCATAATTTTATATGAAATTATAAGTAAAATTATAATAAACTATTATATTAACATAAAAATTCATTAGATTAAACCAAACAAAGTAATTAACTAACAAATCTCTATATATATTATTAAATAAATTCAAACATAAAATTAAATATTACAATTTTAAGAACCATTCTTATAATGTCATATTTTGTTTATAGGCTAATAAATAGGATAAGATGATAATCATTTTATATTATATTTGGTTTATATATAATTGAAAGGGATAACATTACAATGAGGATTATCATCCTCTTGATGTAATATAATTCAATCTTTTTAAAATTGAGAGAATTATTTTTAATTCATAATATTAAATTTACATATCTTATTATCCTCTTAAAAATTACATCAATAATTTAAATTGTATAAACTTTGACAAAAAGTTAATTTTGATCAATAAATAAATTATCTTATTTTAATTATTACACACATCAAACATAAGATATGATTACATTATTTAATATAATCTCTTTGCACATATGAAATATGAGATAAGATGATATTATTTAATATAATTTTATTCATAATATCATCTTATCATATTCTATTATAATCACGTATATTAAATACAACATAAAATAATAATACAAGAAAAATAATTTTTAGAACTCATATTTTAATTCAATTAGTTCATGTAAGCAATAGATATAGGATTCAAATTTTAACCCCTATAGTTTCTTACTTTAACTCCAAATTGTGGCCTTTTAGTACCACAAAAAAAACAAATTGTAACTAATTATTTAATTGAAAAAAGAATGTAAAAATAATAAATAAATCTTTAAAATTTACCACATTATTTAAATAAATTCTTATATTTTTATTGCATTCAACTAAAATTTAAAATTTTAATTTACACTCAAATAATTTCTTAATATCTAATTTATATTTAAATAAAATTTTAAATTTTAATTTATGTATTAAAAACCTTAACATAAATGAATATTTCATTTAAAATAAAATTTTATTTGAAAAAAATAAAAAAAAAATTATTTAAGCACAAACTTATTTCTAAAATATTAAAATTTTTAAACATTTTAGTAAAAAAAATTCGAATGCAATTTGTATCTAGACCTAGCAAATTGTGTTTTGTGTTGTGTCTCATGTTGTATTTGACATGTGTAATAATACGAATTATTAAAATACTAACATGATACAAATTATATGTTGTGTTGGACATGTGTAATAATATGAATTATTAAAATACTGACATGATATAAATTATAAAAAATATTTAAATCATAAATATAAGCATGACATATTTAATATACATGTTATACGTGACATGATATAGTTAACACAAGTATAATTGATTTAAATACAACATAAAAAAATATGAATAATATAGATATACACAAATGGACACAACTAATACGGATATATACGCATAGACATGATTAATACAAAATATATGAGAACACGACTACAAATAATAAATAGTTATAAACTATCAATTTCCAACGTAATAAATTTAGCATATTAATAATTAAAAAACACTTACATATTAAAAAATAAAAAAATTTAATACTCATTTAATATGTATTTAATATATATATTTAAATTTTAATTTATATTACATAATTATATTAATTTTTAATATCAAATTTAAAATGATAAACTATTAAATATTAAATAATAAAATAATAATATATAAGACTAATATTAATAATTATATTGTATTTATATTATTAATATAAATTTTTTTTATAATAAATAAGTATCTTAATTAAATGTTTAAAATAAATTTTATATGGTATTAAATAACTTATTAAGTATTATAATTAAAATAATATTTACATTAAATTAAAATAAATATAAAAATATATTAAACTTGTTCTCATATGATAAAATTAAATTAAATATATTATTAATGTTATATAACATATTTAAATGGGTTAACATATATACAATATAAATTATATCATATCAAAATTTAAATTAACACAAATAAATATAAAATATATATTTTTAAAGTACATATATAAATTTTTTCATATTATTTTTACATTTATATCATATTTGTCTATTCCCGAGCCTTTGTCCAAGCTTTTAATATAAAATGCGAAGGATATAACTGCTTTCGTGTGAAACTGCCCACAGCATCAAGAAATATTGTTCACGCGGGTCCCACCACGATTTCCCTCTGCTCATCAGCGTCTCGTCTCCCTTCTCATTTCTTCGCCTCGAAGGTAATAAAAAAAAAAAACAAAGAGAAAAAATCGTCCCACCACGATTTTCCTCTGCTCATCAGCGTCTCCTCTCCCTTCTCATTTCTTCGCCTCGAAGGTTAAAAAAAAAAGGAAAAATCAGCTCTCACTTTTAAAAATCACTACTTCAACGAAACCGAAAAAAAAAAAGAGAGAGAGAAAAATCCCTAAACGATGCAAGAAGCAGAGCTTCACGATTTATCAGACGACGCCGATTACGCCGCGTCTCAACAACAAGTAAGCAAAAATCAAGAAAAGGAAAATCACATTCAACGTTGTTATTTTCCTTTTCTTTTATTCCGATCTATTTATTTTTAATCTTTTTTCTTTTTGCGCGATTCGATCTAATAATTAGTTGTTATCTATATCAGATTTCTTGAATTGAATTCCGGTTTTGTTATATTATTTTTTTATTTTTTTGGGTGTAGGGATCAGCGAGTATGATGCGGTGCGACAGTGGTAAAAGAAGCTCGTCAAGTGAACCGGAGGGAGCCGAAATTGTTTATATGAAAGATAATGTTACAATTCATCCTAGTCAGTTTGCCTCTGAACGGATTAGTGGAAGATTAAAGTTAATTAAGCAAGGCTCTTCTCTTTTCATGGTAATTAATTAATTAATTAATTCTTAAGCGCTTGTATTTACTAATGTTTATGGATAATTTTGTTAATTATAATTATAATTAGCATTAAATAACATGCCGTAGAGATGGTTTTGATCATGCTAATTGCCTTACCTCATCTGTGCCAATTATTTGTTCTATCTGATTTGGTGAATAGTTATTGGATGAGTTTATATCAGTGTACCCTATAAATTCACGGATAGTATATACGTCAAGGGAGGCAAATAGGATGTCAAAAAGTGTTGGGGCAAATATCATTTTGTATGTTTTATCTGTGTTTGTTTGTTGTATTGATTGTAGACATGGATTCCATACAAAGGGCAAAGTACAAATGCGAGGCTGTCTGAGAAAGGTTTTCAGCTTTGAACTTGTGATTTGAATGCAGTATGCGCTTATCACTTTGGTATAGATTATATGATTTGCTGAAATTTTTGTTGCGGTTTTATTATGCAGATAGGAACCTTTATACTATTAGGGCAATGCCATTTGCTGATGTGAGGTCCATTCGCAGACACACTCCGGCTCTTGGATGGCAGTACATTATTGTTGTTTTGTCATCTGGTAAGGAACCACAAGCTGTATTGCTTTTATGGCTTGTGGTATTAGAGGTTGAGCATGATGACTCATGAAGTTGTATGTTTTACATACATATGATGTTCGGTTGATCTTCATGTAAACTGTCACGGTCCTGTGGGGTGACAAATGTATTTTAAATATGAACTAATTCGTACATTTAAGGCCAAATTTTTGTGGAGATATGGTTTACAAAATTTCCTAGGGTTATTCAATGAAAATGTGCTGCGATTGGGGATGAGCCATTCTTTTAAAGCCATATATTGTACAATTCCCACCTTTGCTGTGCATACATAGAGAATTTCATCAAATGATAATAAAGGTGGTGTGATTCAGTTGCGTAGCAATATGTGCTCAGAGAACTCTTAAAGGAAGATAGTAGATTCTAAAGATTCTAGACCACAATTACGTTGCCTTTGGTTCTGGACCTTGTAAATAGAACCACTGAGCAGAGAAGTTGATAATCTTTTATAGTTTTTTTATTGAGTTTTTTAAATGATAATGACCAAAGTCCTGGGAGATTTTGTGCTTATCAATTTTTGTTTTCATTCTTTTGCTTGTTTGATTTCCCTACTAGAGTAGGGTGTCTGATGTGAAGAATGGAAAAATGAAGGTTAAATCATCGAATGGCTTTATAACCCAACTAAATAATCTAAAGGAGATAATAAATGCTATGACCTGGAATCATTGATCATGTAATGAAATCTGTCATAACTTGAAAATGCTGAAACATTAGATGATAAGAATTCAATATCTTAAAGAGCTGAAGCTTTGAGAAAACTGGTGTCATCTAAATTCCTTTAAGATGGTTCAAGGGTGGAAATTGCTGCTTTACATCCTTTACTATGTATTGACAGCTAGTTTCACATTTGAAATTTTAATTTTTATAGTAACACTTTTCTTTTTAGCATACTAGTTTCGTCGCTACTTTTACCTGGCAGTTGAAAAGACTAGTAGGCATAGAAACTTCTGAGTTTGACTGCCCCACCTTTGTGCTGCTTCCTGCGTCTCCATTTTTATTGAATGTCCTGAAGAACCACTTATTAATTGACTAGCTGGAAATGAGGCAAAATCTACTATAGTTGATTTGTTCTACTTGCAAGTCTTTGCAATTCTGTTTGATGATTGTTAAAAGATGATGCAAATGGTTTAATCCCATGGATTTATTTCAATTTTTTATTTAAAATTTTTATCATTACATTTTTTTTATTTATAGTTCTTGCATAGGCTCGTCTTTACATTTATGAAAAAAATTTGATTCTCAGGACTTGCATTTCCCCCCCTTTACTTCTATAACGGAGGAGTTCGAGAGTTCCTAGCTACAGTAAAACAACACGTTTTTCTTGTGAGGTTGGTTTGTGCTCATTTTAAGTTCTGGTTTAATAATATTTTGTGTGATTAATAATTTTGACTTTATCTTCAAGAGTTTGATAGTCCTTTCTACAGTATTTTGACCGAGAATAGGATCTTGGAATTAACCAGCTGTTGCATATCATAAGCGTTCTTGTTAAAACAAATGGAAATAGAGAAAGATATGTAAAGGAATAAAATTACTAAGAAAAACAAGTGTATATATAATGTAAAAGTTGCCGTAAATTTTGTTCTTTGCATGGTATCAAGGCTAAAAGTCTTTGGGGAGGTTGTGGAGTATTGTTGATTTATTCGTTTAGAATTTGTTTCTGTGTTGTTATTAATAAATTTTCTTTTCAATAATGACATATATTCTGAAATCTCAGGAGATTCGATGGAGTGTTGGAATCTCTAATGTGGGATTTTTCCTTGATTTCGGAAAATAAAAATGGCTTTTGTGTTATTTCTTTTTACCTTGTAAGTCTTGATTTTTCTTTATGAAGAATTTGCTACAATGAGGATTTTTTCGTTTGTCAAACGTGCCATTGTTTGGTTCAAAAAGAAGTGTTCCATTGTTAATTAATAATTACTATTTTTAATGGTGCTTGTGCCATGAATCCCTTTGCCTTTATTTTTTAAATGAAAATTTTTCTTGCATGTGTTTGGGCATAAATGAGAGAAGGTTTTTCTGTGGGAAGAATTTTGGTGATATAAATATGTATATTTTCATACCTGCTTAGTTCTTCCCTTCTAAATCATTTTAATTCAGGAGTTTTCTCTGGAAACGATTAATATTATACTGTAATTATGTTCATATATTCCAATATTTTGCTGCTATATCTGTCGTTAGCTGACAATTTGTAACAAAATATAATTGTTAGATTTCTTTGAGGTCCTTTTTTTCATCTTATTTTCAGGTCAGCAGACGATGCAAATGTATTTCTTGTGAATGACTTTCAAAACCCTCTTCAGGTGTGTATAATGCTAATTTACCTATTTGGTTTGTTTTTATTATGGAAATTTCTTTAGGTAACTGCTTTGTAGTTCATTAATTCTTCAACATCAATGTTTCCCAAAGCATATGTCCAACATGGGAAATAGGGGATTCTCAAATTGCAGAATATCTTACTCATATAGAGATTAATTATTTTAAATGCAGGTCTAAGTGTAATTATGTCAACTAAAATTGTCTTATCTGCATTTTGTGTATTTTTTTTTAAATGTGAACTGTAAATTGTGTTGTTTTCAATTGGTAAACTAAGATTTTTCTAACTGAATGTACCATTTTATTTTGTTTGTGTTTGTTGATTATGTGTGGTCAAGGAGTTGCTATTTTATTCTGAGACTTCTAATTGCTTGTGACAGCGAACTTTGTCTTCCTTGGAGCTTCCCAGGGCAGTTTCCATTGCAAGTGTTCCATCAACACCTGTTTCAGTTGGGGAGTCTACTTCACATGAAAATGAAGAGAGGAGTAATGTACGTGTCAGTGATGGAAGTGCTACTATTCCTCAGTATAATGGAAGGCTGAGGCAAAAGGCTCATGATCCTGCTCGAGACATTTCAATTCAAGTTTTGGAGAAATTTTCTCTTGTAACCAAGTTTGCTCGAGAAACAACTTCGCAGCTATTCCGGGAAACTCATAGCAATGACTTTGGTCCTTTTGAGAGGAGAAACTCAAACCAGTCTGCCCTTGATTATAGTCACAAACCATCTGATGATGTTGAGGAAGTTCCTGTTCAAAGCCCCATTGCACCAGATCCTCTTGAGGTAGCTGTTTGTTCCCTTTGTCAATTATTTACACCATTAATTTTTTCACAAGAAGTGTCACTGTTTGTTAGTTTCTGCCTGTTAACAGGTTTGTGTTTGTATATTAGGATTTAAGCTCCAGATACTCTTATGATCACTTTTAATACTCATACGTATTTAAGGCGCAAAAGTGCAAGTTCATATCTTTCTATAGAAGCTCTTGTTGTTCATGGATCAAATGGAGCCCAGTATGTCATCATTTTTAGGCTCTCGTGGCTGAACATGGTGGATTAGGGAAAAAACCCCATATTTGAAATACATGATGGAATCCTTTTTCAAACTTGTCAATCTTGTGACAAAACTCAACTACTTACTACTTAGAATTTATGCTATTGATTAGTTTATGGAGAGGGTGGAGAAAATATCTCTATTTTCTTGCAATATAAATAAGATACCTTGAGTGGTCCATTAGATGATTAAAACAAAGAATGTGATGAATCTGGCATATTTTTTGAGGTGGCAGATAGCTCTTGGAAAGTTATCTTGATGGTTTGAATGTTTCTATATCTTTCCACATTACTTGGAAATATTAGGTATTGTTGTTAGTTTAAGCATGGTTTAGAGTTTTTTTATGTTCTTTATTCAATTCATACTAGCATTATTTTAGCTGGAAAGGTTTCAACTTCTATACCAGGGCAACCTGATACCAACCTCTATCCTTGTTAAACAGAAAGTCCCATATAGGAAACACAATCATTATGATGAAGCTGGCACCATTGTGGGGACTTTTGAGCTAATCAATGTTAAGGAGGTATAGAAGGAGCCTTAGTTCTATTGTAGTCTCCGGGTTTGTTACATTTTTTTTTTTTGACAATTCTACCCTTTCCAAGTGTGGTCATGATTCATGAGTTGAATATAGATATTTAATGTCACTTTCCTTTATAATCCTTTTAAAAGTGCTGCAGATACCTGTGAATGAAATTGCTGCTAAAACCTGCTTTAGGTTTCAATATGTCTTTTGGTATATGATTGCTGAATGAGAGTGCATAATTCAATTCTTCTGAGTGTTTGGTGCATGAAGTTGGAAATCAACTGAGGGGCCAGAAGGGGGGGGGGGGTAATTGGCTTGTGAAGCATTAAAAAATGATGAATATGTTGCATGTTAATACTTTGATAAATAACTTGTATAATGAGTGGATTTACAAAGATTTTTACATGGCCTTGGATGTTGGATTAACAAATGTTTGGTTATTTTGGCCTGTAGCAACTTTTGTTGCTACTCTCCCACTAGTTGAGAAAATTGGTTTTGTTTTGGGTCTAGCAGATAAATATGTATTTTATTGTCTATGCTTATTCGAGATTACCTTTGGGAATGAGTGGTTCTGGTAATGGGCTCTCGTCCTTGTTGATGTGATTAACTTTGGTGTTTGTTTTGACTTCTTTTCTCTACCTGTAGGAGTGTGACCAATTGGGAACTGGTGGTAACATAGTCATAAATTAGAAGATAGATTTTAAAAGGCCTCATGCCAATCTAAGGTTAACAAGATAGAAGCTGAGATGGCTGTACGTATGATCTTTTGATTCTATGTTGAACTCTGCAACATAACTTTTGTGATTGTATTTATATTTATTAGGGTCTTTTCTTTAACATTTTGTAGACAAAGCTGGACATTCTTAAAAGTATTACAGGGCTGCAAAAAAATTTAGAGACATTAGTTTGTTACATCTATGAATTAATTAAGAGATGTTACTTTGTCAAATTAGAGAACTGAAAACTGAAATAAATTTCATTTTGCTATTTGTCTATTTGTAAGCAAACTTTCTGTGATTAGTTGTTATGAATGGTACAGAAATGTAATTTATTATATTTCTACTAGTTTGTGTTATAAAAATCTATTTCTCTTTTGCCAAACATTCGCTATTGTGGTTTATTTAATAATGGTAGCAGGAGAGGACCCAATATTTAGTTTGGTTGAACATTAAATTCCATAACTGTTGTGTATAATTTTTTTCATTTTTGGGAACAGATTTTTCATCTCAAGTTGATATATGTTTTTGTCTTTATTTTCTGGCAGTTTGACAAACTCTCACTAGTGTGGGGAAAACCCCGACAACCACCATTGGGGTTGGAAGAGGTAAGGGACCAGATGCAAACTTTATTATTTTGTGTGTATCCAATTTGCTTATCTATTTTAACCATCTTTTCTGATTGGGCTGGTTACATTCTTGGTTCTGTAGATTATACCTCCATCACCAGTCTCTTACTATATGAAACAAAATAGATTAGTTATAATATTTCCTAATTTCTATGTTAAGGGTTTCTTTAAACATGATCTTTGAACTTGCTACATACTTTACATGCTTTCTTCTGTGAGGACTGCTAATTCACTATGTGATTGGTATTATGTTACTCTTTTGAAATTTAATTGTTTTTTTCAGTGGGCCACATTCTTGGATTCAGAAGGGCGAGTGCTGGATTCAAAAGCTGTAAGAAAAAGAATATTTTATGGAGGAGTTGAACACCAATTACGAAGAGAGGTTTGTATTTGTACCATGCGAGGAATTCTAAGTGGATTGATTCTTTTGATTAAAAATGAATCTTAATCTTAGAGATCATACTTGTGATTTTTAGGTCTGGGCAATATTGTTGGGATATCACACATATGAATCAACTTATGCAGAAAGGGAATATCAAAGGTCTATCAAAAAGACAGAATACGAGACTATAAAAAACCAGTGGCAGGTTTGCATTGTTCTTTGTCTAGTTTGTCTGTAGTACTCTTTCCTTCCCTACATTAAATTCAAGTTTGCATTGAACGTTAACTTTGGTGGTCTTTACTCTTTAAGAGCAGTTGAAACTTTTGAGGCTCAGACAAAAAATGTTTCTTCTCAGCCAAGGACACATTTGAATCTTCTTTATTGACATGATACTTTTCTTTTATTTCTTCTATGACATGAGTTGTTTGGTACCTCTCTAAGAAATAGGTGTTTTTCTTTCTCTTCTTTTGGGTTGCCTTTATGGTGCATTAAATGTTCCTTTTTGGGGGAATGGGGGTTGGAGAAGGGGGGGAGCTAAAGATTTGTGTTTGGCTTTGAGGTTTCTTTCTCAAGACTGTGTGCTGGGATTGCTGGTTGACTTTGAGGTATATGGCATTTTGCTAAATTTGCATACCTCGAAGATGTGCCTATGAGTGGAGAGCCAACCGGTAAAGTTTTTTTTTTATTAAAATCAACCCAGTTATCTTGTAAGGGCTACTTAAATGGCTTATAGGGAGCTCTAAGCAAACTGATGACTTGAAAATGAATCTGTCCTAGAGATGACACATCCGTCGGGTTTTTTCAATGTTGGAAAGCATAATGATGGGGAACAGAGATATCCTAGTTATGTGTCTATGTTGTTTAGCACTTTATTTTGTATTTTATGGGTTTGATTGTAATCTTTACAATTATCTAGACTATTTTTGATATTTTAGATTATTTAGGCTATTTAATATTAATTAGTATTTGAGTTATTTTCCTAATATTAGGGCTTTAGGGTTATAATTGGTACTTTACTTTTTTATTAGGGTTTATGTTTAGCTATAAATACCTAAGTTGCAATAGTTTTTAGGAGGCTTTTGATGAATTAATTATAGAATTTTTTTTTCTGGAAATTGAGTTGTGAGTTTCTTGTTCTTAGGGTTGGCAGCCCAACCCGGAACTGACCCGACCCTATAGGGTTGATTTTTTTTTTTGTTCAAAATCGGGTTTTGGGTCGGGGTCGGGTCAGTTATTGTTAATGGGAAATCGGGGTCAAGTCGGGTTCAGGTTTTAGGCAAACCTGACCCGACCCGATATTTATATAAAATTTTTTTTTTAATTTTTTATTAAATATATTTATATATTTATATTTAAAAAATAATATTTTATTAATTTCGGATTTGGTGTAGTTTATATAATGTCGGGTTTGGGTATTAAAAAAAAAAAAATTTCGGGTAGGGTATGGGTACGGGTTTTATGTTTATAAAATCAGGTCGGGTTCGGGGTGAGCAAAAACCCGCACCCGTTGTCAACACTACTTGTTCTACATCACATAATGCTGTTGATCTTATATCATTTTCTGGATTACATGGACTATTGGAAGGGCCAAAAGACAATCACTCCAGTCAGTCTTTTTATATACAACTGATACTTAGTTATAAGTTGTATATTGTATAACGTATGGGAATGTAAAATGCTGCATCATTACTTAATGGAGCATACAGATAATGGATGCTAGAATAAGGAATACTGCAGCAGGGAGATAAAATCTAGAGCCAACTTTTAGAAAAGTATTTCCTTATTCTGGCAAAACTTAGTTTTTACATGAAGCTTATTACTTGTTTGGTGAATATAGTTTTTACATGAAGCTTATTACTTGTTTGGTGAATATTTTGTCAGAGTATCTCTCCTGAACAGGCAAAAAGATTTACAAAATTCAGAGAGAGGAAAGGCCTTATAGAGAAAGATGTGGTATGTATGAAACCATCACATGTTTGACTTTGGAACTTCATATATTTATTTTATTCTTAAAAATGTAATAGTTCAATTTAAAGTTCAATGCATCAACTGTGTTTTTGTTTTCTTAAAGGTAAGAACAGACAGGTCGCTGTCTTTCTATGATGGGGATGACAATCCAAATGTGAATCTTTTACGTGATATTCTGTTGACTTACTCTTTCTATAACTTCGATCTTGGTTACTGTCAGGTAATTACTTCTGATATGCTCCGGTTTTCCTTCTGTTAGTTGCCATTATTAAGAAGTTGATTTTATGTCATGCTGAGTTACAATTTTTATGTTAGTTATTTTCTTTTGATTCAATGAAAATATCTTGACTGTTTTTAAATGCAACAACATTCATGTTTTAAATTAGATGTGTATGTTCTTGGCCAAAAAAAATTGTATATGCATGGGAATGGTGTAGAAATGCTTAGTCTGATTTAAATGCTAATGTGTGCTTAATAAATGATTGTTTTGGTGGCAATACAATTTCACTACGTCATTTCATACAATCTCGTAATGAGCTGCCATCATGCATGTAACATGGCATTGTTCAAATATGACATAGGAATATCATAAGCAACCAAGCAGGCAGTGCACCTGATATCCCATGTTACATTGAGAGCATAAATCACTGAATGAATTTGAAACCACTTTTCTTATGTGATTATATTTTAAGAGCATTTAAGCGGGCGCTATCATCTAAAACTATATTTAAAGTTGAGCATAATTGAACACCTATGTTATAATTTTCTTTTTCTTATACGCAGGGCATAATTTAATTGCAAAAATGTTGTTTGGGGCTTTTCTCCTTGATGATGTTGTATTTCTGATTTTTCCTTCTTTCCTTTTCTTAAATTCTACTCTGGCAGAGGGATGGGCTTTTTTACATCTTGAATGCATTTGTTTTTCTTTAGATAATTTTAATATGAAAGACACATACACACATGGAGATGCGCATAAATGTGCAATTTTATTTTTTCCATTTGTATGTTGTATAGTAGATTATTGGTTCAGGCACGTGGATGTCTAGGTCTAAAGCTTGTTTCCGTTTTCAATGCCCAAATTTCTCCAAGGTTTATATGCATTCTGTCACTTGTCTTCTATATGGTTGTGTGCTTCTTCCCTTTTTCTATCCTTCTTACAGGGTATGAGTGATCTGCTTTCCCCCATTTTGTTTGTAATGGAGGATGAGTCAGAATCATTTTGGTGTTTTGTGGCACTGATGGAACGTCTTGGGCCTAATTTTAATCGCGACCAAAATGGCATGCACTCTCAGCTTTTTGCATTATCTAAGGTCTTGTTTCCTCTCTTTCTCTCTCTCTCTCTTACATATTGCTGGAGTCATTAGTTTATAGTTAAAATGGCTGAGACTTTTTGTTTTTTTCTTTTCTTAAACTGTTGAATATGACTCCTTAAAGGTAACGTCATGTTTATACAACTCCCCATTCCCCTCCTCCCACCCCTTTTTTTTTTGGTGTGGGGTTATTTTTCTCTCCTCCCTCTCTCTTGTAGAAAAGGTTAATAGAGTTTTTATTTGAAACTATAAAATTAGGATTATTTAACTTTTGTGTGTAAAACAGAGTTGGAGAATTCTGGCTTAGAACTTTTTTCAATTAATTTTATTGATTCTTCCTCACCTTCTGTCGCTCCCTGAAATTTCAGCCTCTGCATTTGCAGTGGTGTAAAATTAAAAAGCAATAGTATTGATATGATATGGATCTAGTCTGAGTTTGTCAAACTTTGAACTCTGAATCATTGTGGTGTAGCTTGTTAGAAGACTTTACATCATGAGATAGCAGGCCTTAAAAGTTATGTTTCGTTAATCATTCTTATAGTGAGAGATTACATTTTTATGATCAGAATAGAGCATCATCTTGCCCATTATTTGCTTGAGTTAACAACTATGACGTAGAAACGGGTATAACATGGTCACTGTTGGATTCTCGAGTCCTTGAAAAAGTTTAAATGTTGAAGCCTCTATTTGTAATGTCATCAGACTTATGTTTCTTCTTGGAGATCTTTGGGGTTTAGTCTTTTGTGTTTTCCTGGGTAGGAAACAATATAAAGAAGGTTAAAGGCTAAAATACTAAAAAGGCCCCAAAACTATTCCACTTTTCTTAAATAAACTCTTATACTTTTATTGTACCCAAATAAGCCCTTATTCTTTGATTTGTATCCAATTAAGCTCTTATTTCAAACAAAAAATTGATTTATATTAAGGGTTTTTTTAGGTACAAATTAAAAGTTAAGGGCTTATTTAGATACAAATTAAAAATTGAGGGCTTATTTGGATGCAAATTAAAGGTCAAGGGCTTCTTTGGGTGTAATAAAAGTATAGGAGCTTATCTAAATAAAGTGATATAGTTCAAGCGCTTTTTTATTATTTTAGCCTAGGTTAACAGGGTATTATGACTTATAAGTTTAACAAGCAATGTATAAACAGCATAATCACCCTTCCCTTTCACCTAAACAACATAAAGAAGATTAAAGGGTACCATGACTTTATCCTTCTAACATAATTCTTAAACAGCTAAACCAAGTCAATTAATAAATCCTGAACAGAGTTTTGGTCTCTGATTTTGAACTGTACCTCTGCTTTTTGCAGTTGGTGGAGTTGTTAGACAGCCCATTGCATAACTATTTCAAGCAGAATGACTGCTTGAATTATTTCTTCTGTTTCCGCTGGATTCTGATACAGTTTAAAAGGTAAGACTCTTGGATTTAGTAGTGCATTCATTTCCTTCCGTGCCAACATTCATTTAGGGTACATATTCGTTTAATTATGTAGTTCACATGTTTTCCTGCTGACGCATTCCTATTTTGAATGAAAAATGTTGCAATGCTTCACGTAAAGTAGAATAGTTTGTCGAATAACTTTCTTGTAATGTGCTCCAAGGGAGAAGAAAGTGGGAGGATGAAGATAAAGGCTTTGTAAGGAGGGTGTAAAAGGAATGGAAAATGTTAAAATGGTTGTCTTTTCTTTCCCAAGCTTGCTGGTTTTAAGTCATCCAATTTGGAAGAACTTAGGGAAAGGAGAATGAGAGTTGATGAGAAATGTTAAAATTTTGCAAATTTCCCTTACGCTTTTAACATTGGGGGAAAAGTTACCCTTTTTGGCTGATCCATTTTTCATCCTTATTTTTAGACACACCCTTAATCTCTTTTAGCATATACTTTCCTGCATGTGTGTGTCCCCCCCACCCCCCCTCTTTTTCCTCTCTTTCAAAATCCGACATGGAATTATGTATTTATGTGCATGGGAAACTGGTGGTTAGGAACAAAGTGAGGCACAGAGAATTCTTGTTTAAAATGTTGTGCGGGTTTGTGCTGATTGCTGAAAAATATCAGTGAGAAAGAAACTGAGGCATTTCAGGATCTTGGTCTTGCATTACAGAAAAGTCTCTTGATTTTATCTGCATTTCACCATATTAAGCTTTCAAAATTCTTTTTTTCCCTTCAAATTTCATCTTGAGCTTTGCTTAGGCATGCACTCTGAGATGTAAAGATGAATGACTGTGTTTAACATGTGGTGTGGTCTCGACATATTTGTCAGGGAACTTGAATATGAGAAAACAATGCGATTGTGGGAAGTATTGTGGACACATTATTTGTCGGAGCACTTACATCTGTACGTGTGTGTGGCTATCTTGAAGCGCTATCGCGGCAAGATAATAGGAGAGCAAATGGACTTCGACACCCTCTTGAAGTTCATCAATGAGCTGAGTGGTCAGATTGACCTTGATGCAACCCTCAGGGATGCAGAGGCTTTATGTATATGTGCCGGCGAGAATGGAGCTGCTTGCATCCCACCTGGAACTCCACCTTCGTTGCCTATTGACAATGGTTTATTATGTTCTCAGCAAGATGATGAAGTATTGTAAATGTTATCTCTAGCATATACCAAATTTAAATTCACGATTTTATCACTGCTCTTATAGTTGGCTGATTTTTCCAAAACAATGCTAGTGGATGATGAAATAATATTTTGATGAAATCAGTTCAGTATGTTTTTCGTTAAACGCCAACATGCAATACATAAATGGGTTTGTTATTTTCCACCCACAATCTCCAAATAACCTTTTGATTTTTATCTGATTATTTGGTAGGTCTTTTACTTCGCTTTTATTGGATACCCAGATTTTCATTCAATATTAGAAGGAATTGGAGAGGGGTGTTTTCTCCTTTCAACTTTCGTTTTGCTTTATGGGTTAGGCAATTAATTATGGGGTTATGTTCCATGTTGGAGAATTAATACTCCTTTTGCGTACACAAGTTGGCGTTTGTGCTTTAGGAGATGAATATGATCTCTATCTCTCTCTCTCTCTCTCTCTATATATATATATATATATATATATAAATATATATGTATGTACAGTTTTTAATTTTACAAGTATGGTTAAGAATGTGACATATTTTAATATATATTTAAAAAATAAAAAAAAATTAATTTAAAAAAATAAAAAATGTCACATTTTTAATTTCGTTTATAAAATTAGAAAATTCAACTATTAATATATCAAACAAAAATTTTTTTTATATTTTTTCTTTTTAAGGTACTAATAAATCTCATATTCAAATGATTTCCATCATCATTAATCGAGAAAAGTTCATTTTTTAGGAGACTTGCCAGTTTCCATGATGAGGTACTTGTTTTCTTTTCTCAGCTTTTTTGGTTGTGATTGAACTGGGAGACTGGTTGAATGTTGACGCGGATCCATTTATAAATTATAGTGTTCATAGACATTTAAATTTTAAAAAAATTGAAAGAAAACTTTTTGTTGGATATCTTCAAAAAAAATTTTCTGTACATCTTCAAAGATTCAAAAATAAAAAAATAAACTTTTTTTAAAAAATTACAGAACACCCAAAATTTTTTTATAGAGACATTTTTTATCCACAAAATTAATAAATCTATCAATAAATTTTATATATATTACAAATAAACACTGAAAAAAAAAGATTGGATCTTCTACTTGACATTGATACTCGTAATAATACAGTCATGGGTAAAGACGTAAAGTTGACTCTTAATTATTTCGTCTATTTGCTTTTTAAAAAAAAAATCTGAAAAGGAAAGAATTATAATTTTAACTTAAGCATTAGGATCAAAATTACTAGTTAAAGTTAAAATTATAATCCTCACTTCACTTGTTTACGCTCACAAATTCCTGATAATGCGCTTAACACTGCTTTCAAAAGGTAGTACGTAGGATGCAAATGCAATGCACTCTCCTGCTAAAGCCTAAAGGTGTTTGTCTCTTGGGACAAAACAACTCCCGGCAGCCAGCAAAGTGCTCTGTCCAGGTGGTAGTCCACGTAAATGCTGTAACTAAGGCAAGAATAATTGGATTCCCATTTACACATCTGAATCTGTCCCAAATGCTTCAAACAGAACAAAAGAATCCAAATAGGATGTGAAAGGCCCTTCATCAAACACAAAATTTGAGTAATTGGGGTGCATCATCACTGGAGTTCCTACCATGTCATAGTCATAGTTGAAGCACTGAACCGCACTGTCTATAACACTGCTCTCTTCCTTCACTTCTTTCTTCTCATCCGAATCCAACCCCTGATCTGTTGTCCTTGCTGGACTTGTGGTGAAAATGGGCTGAGAATTTTGCAACTCCCTTGGTTTCTTGCTATCCTGCTTCTCAATATTGTCTTCGTGTTCATCATGTTGCTTGTTTGAGTCAATAGTTTTTCTTTTTCCTAAAAGGCTCTTCTTGTTCAAATGGGTATTCCAATAGTTCTTCACCTCGTTGTCAGTTCGACCAGGAAGTCTCCCAGCAATTAGAGACCATCTCCGGTTTCAAAAACAAAAAAAAAAATTTATCAAATTTGAAATACTACTCAAAATAAGAAAAGTTCCAATAATGTATATTGATAAAGTTATGCAAAATAAACCAAAGAGCAATATATTAAACATTGGTAATATGGATAAAGTAATACTATAGTAAAAACGGATAAAATGAGTTATCTTATATTTAATAAATATTAAATTTTTTATAATTTTATATTCAAGTTAAGTTCTTTTACTTATTGACAATTAATTTTAAATAAAATACTTAACAGAATTATCAGAATCAATAATTTTTTTTGTTGCCTTCTTCAAATCTATCACAATAGCTTTCTTACATATTTATCTATACATGATGGGATCTATTAAAATGAATTATCTTACATTTAATAAATATCAAATTTTTTATAATTTTATATTCAAATTTGATCATTTTATTTATTATCAATTAATTTTAAGTTAGATACTTAACAAAAATAAATATGAATTTTATTTTAAATAAAAAAAAAGTCTCAGAGTTGGAATCTTAAAGAAAAAAGACAGCAATTACTAACCTGTTACCAAGAAGCTTGTGCATTCGGATAATAAGGTCTTCTTCCTCCTTAGACATTCCACCACGTTTGATGTTTGGTCTCAGGTAATTCTTCCATCTCAGTCTACAACTTTTCCCTCCTCTCATCAACCCTGAAATTACAAATAAGCTATATATATTGACTATTATTATAATAAAATTACTTCACCATCATCAACATTTTTTCAGGAAAGAGAATTGAGAAACACTATCATATACTGATGTTTTTGATATACCTGATCTCTTAGATACGGTTGCCCAGTTGCCTTCGCCATAAGTCTCAATATAGTTTTTCAAAATCGAGTCTTCCTCTGGTTTCCATAAACCTCTTTTTGGCTGTGCCTTCATTTCTTTATTGTTCTCCATTCTTGCTGCTTCTCTTTCTTTCTTTTCGGCTCACTTACACTCTCACAAGACAGATGATTATTACTGACTTAAAGGAGAAGGAAATTATATATATATATATATATATATTTATTTATTTATAGGAAAGAGAATTAGTGTAGCAAACTGAGCTGTCACATCTTTCGGCCAATTTGCAAAACATGCGTGCATGAACGATGCTAAAACAGTACTCAAAGGATTGACATCATGAAATGGGAGGGCCCCCTAATTTCATTTATTTTTAGCTTTAACTTCACACGATCTCTCTGTAAAAGCAAAGCAAATTTGAGTTACCACGTTCACTTTCTCCCTAAATTCACGAGAGAGAGAAATAGACAACCCGAAACATGTATCATTATTATGTGAGAAAAAAATTTTAAGATGAACATGCAACCAACAAACATGTATGATCATTACCAAATAATTAATACTATATAGTACCTGCTAGCTATTCCAAAAGGAATTATACACGCCATCATATATGATTCTTATTCATCCTGATGCAAGTGGAACTTTTTTGACATGATTTTGCATGTGTTTAAGATAATTAATTAATTACTATATTTAGCATAGTTTAATTGTAACCGTACATGAATGTATGAAGTTTGTTCTATTGATTGTTATCTTTTTGAAAAAGAGATACGATTTAATATTGGAATATTATTTCATCTCCAATGAAATTTGTTTATACATAAAAATGCAAAATATTCTAACTATATTTTAGTAAATCAATTTAAATATTCTCCATCTCCTAACTATATTAAAGAAATATTGTTGTTGAATTTTTTTTGGCCAATCGAAATATTGCTGAATTGAGGGCATAAAGGAAGGTTAGTTGAGCCTAACGCAGATGCAAGCTACATTTAAAAAAAAAAAAATGCAAAAGCTATAAATCAAGCACCCCCAGTTCTAATAAATTATGAATTCTATCTTATAACTGGCCTCCAAGCACTTCTTTTGACTTCATTAATGCTACATAATTATGGAAACTAGAGATAAGAAATATAACTAAAATAGTATTGGGATATGTAAATGTACATGATCTGATGCACCACTATCTCCCCATTGCAGCTTTTGTGAGCCCCATGCATGAAATGACATGCATATATTATATTCATAGTGTTTTTCCTTTGGTGTGTGCTTGTCATTACTGGCTAGTGGGTCTTACTTTTGGTGGGAGAAATGTGATCAATTGTTATTTGTTTGAAAATTGAAGATGTGGAGGGAAGGGAACAAGGCAATGTATGCTTGAATTGCTTTTCAGTCATCTCTGTCAGCGCAGTAGGTATTTTTGCTTTTGATTGCTATGATTTTAGCTTTTTTGAGGCTCTCCTTACGTTCGGCAGTCTGTCTCAAAATCTCTGCCAATATAAAACGAAGAGTATCAAACGATCATACCTCTTATCATTGAGTAAGCAGTGGAGCACTATTCCTATCAAAACCCTCTTCCTGCTGTTTGGACCATTCACTAGAAACATTTGAGTAAAAGTTTAAAGTTAAAGAATAAAAATCATGAGCTTTTGCGAATTAATCCAATATTGTCTTATTCAGGCAGTCATTTCTAGTTACTACTATTTATTTTCTAATCCTTTCTAGTTATTGCTGCCCATTTTGCTTGAATATTTCCGGCATTTTACTATTCATTTCAACTTGAATATATATTTCCAACATTTTACTTGTTATATATTTCTGGCCATTTTACTTGAATATTTCCAATATATTTTCCAAAAATATATAAACAGCAGGGATTAATGCAGATTTCCTATTTTTTTTCTGAACTCCCAAAACAAATTTCAAGACACCAAAATGCTACCATATTTGACTGGTGGTTACAAGGGAATGTGTAACAAATATGATCATGGCATTGGCCCTTCACCCTTGGGTCCACAATTTATAATAAAAACATTTCAAGCTTGATCCAACCATCATAATTTTCTATTTTTAATGGGGTTGAAATTCTAAGTTGGGATTCTCGTTCTATACCTCCTTCATGTGTTAAAAAAATGCATGGTGCAATAACATTTATGGTATATTTGAACTTGCAAATGAAAATTGGAAAAAGGAAAATTGTAAACTAATGCAAATTAATTACTAGGAAGTGAAAACACCTGGTAAAGAGAGGAGCAAGAAAGTTGGTTGCCAACTTAAATCTATTTGAAAGTTAATGCATTAACTTTTACTGCCAACAACTTAAATCCATATGGAAACTGATGACTGTGTGATTGAGCTTTAAGTCTGTCGGAAACTACTGTTTGCATTATTCTCTTGACTCCTGCTTTGCTTTATTTTCATGTCATTATCAAAATGTAAAGGTCTCCCAACATTTTCCATCCCTTTTACTGCCAACAACTTTAGATTTTTTTTTTTTTTTATAGAGGTGGAGAAAAATGACAACTTTACGTAAATTGCATCTGCATTCTAGATTTTTCCTCATGTAGTTTTTGTTATGAGATTTTGCTCAACGTTGTTCACATGAAATGTCATTCACTTCATCAAATTGTATTCTTCAAGACTCGAGCAGTTAACTCAGTGTGTAGTGGAAGTATTTTACTACTCAAAAGCTGGATTCGAATTTCTTTTCAAAGTCAACGCTACTAGTCCTTTTTGTCTTTCATATATTATCACCATGTTTGGAAGCGCCGATTAAAATGAGATTTATTGTAGCGAGATTCAGTAAGATCCATTGAATTATGGCTGTTAGATTTGATGGTACAGTTCTGCACCAGTGGATTAAAATTGTAGGGAGAGGTGATGGTTAAAGTACAATCTGATGGTTTAAGTAACCGGTTTGTGACATGAAAGAGGAAATGACAGCAGCCGGTTATGAATTTGAATATAATTGAACAAATTCGAATCGTTATAATATTAAGTTTGAATTCGAGTTTAATTTTAAATTTAATATTTAAAATTTGATTTAAATTTGATTAAATTTGATTTTTTAGTTTGAGTTCGATTTAAAATACAGATCGATTGAGAGACTCAAATTAATTTGATTGGACTCAATTAATATTTTAAAATAAATTTAATTTTTATATTCAATAAAAATTTAATATTTGCATTCGAATTTAAGTTTAAATTTAAAATATTTTATTAATTAAAATATATTAAAATATAAAAATTTAATTATGTTCGTAAGTTATTCGAATCGAACGAAAAAATATTCTAACTCAACTCAATCGATAAGTTGAGTTAGTTAAGCTCGAGTATGACTCGATAATAATCAAGCTCGATTTGAATTTTATTCTAATCGAATCTTAATAAGTTATGAGTATTTTATATCATTCACACCTCTAATTATAAATATAATTTTTTCATACAAATAAATCATATTATAAGAGAAGGATAAGAAAATGAATTATAAGTATTAAATTTCAAATTATATATTTTTTAAATATTATTTTTTAAAAATAATTATATAAATTAATTAAATTAAATTCTAAATTATCAATAATTTAAAATTGTCAATGCGGGTAAAAGGTAAAAAAAGTGAGAACATTAAAGCTGCATAAAGCGTAAGGAAACATGCATTTAAGCAGGCAAAGGAGAGCACAAAAAACTACACATGCATTAAGTAGGTATGTTAAAGAAACAGGGGCCACGGAATAAGGACAAAATGACGGCAAAAGTTTGGTAATTGAAGACAAAATGAGGGTAAAAGTTTTGGTAGAAGAGGACAACACGAGGCAAATACTTGGCAGATAGGAAGAAAATGAGGGCAAAAGCTTGGTACATTAGGATAAATTGGGGTAAGACGAAAAAAACCAAAGGTGCTTTTATATGCATTTCCTTTTTTTTTTTTACACCTATTTTTTAAAATCATTTTAACATAAAATTATTTAATTATTATTTAATTAATTTTAAATTTTTGAAACATACATATTCGATAAATTTATAATTTATTTGATATAAAACTTATTAGATATGAAAACCTAAATAAGTTATATAACATGTCCGGAAGAATTTTCATAACATTGCAAAGAAAATATATATTTATTTCAAATAATTATAAATTTATTTACAAATTGATAAAAAAATTAAGCATGTTGGTCTCAGATTTTTTATTGATTTAAACAATTTGAGACAAAAATTTTAAAAGTTTTCAAATATACTAATGCAAAAATTTTTAATAGTTTTTAAATTTACAAATCTAGAAACTTAAAAGTGAGAAAGGATTTGAGAAAAGATAATTAAGTAATTTTATTTAGGAGATTTAGAAAAAAAATTAAAGTACAAATAGAAACTCCCAACACCAAATGGTATAAAATTGAAATTTTAAAAAATTTTTGTGGTTTCCGAATATGATGTAAACGGGAAAATATGAAGAGTGAAACTAATTTTAAAAAATTAGGAAATTTAAATAAAAGCACAAAAATTACAAGTACTAATTATTAGGAATTGATTTGTTATATATTATAATGAAGAAAAAATGGATTGAAATATTTATAAAATTAGTAATTAATATAATGTTAAAATTTTTTGAATAATTAAAAATGGAACAAAGTAGCATCACTTGAATTGCTGCCATTTCAAAAGAGTTTATTTTGTTATTTTTTGAGCATATATAAAAAAAATTAATTGAATGGTATGTATTTAGCTTTGTTAGTCTAAAACAAAATAAGTCATTAAATTATAATCGACAAAATTAAAAATAATAAAATATAAATATATGGAATGCAAATTTTCTCAAGATAAATGAAATAATTTCTCACAAAATAATCATACATAGATAGCCTACTATTATGAGAAGTGATCATCTAAATTAATGCTGAGTCCATAAATTAATATTATTGGTCTATTTATTTAATTTGAAAATAAGTCATTTTTACAAATAATTCTCAAATTCCTACATCTATAGATAAAGGTATTCGTGAACTGGCTTAGATCTAGTTAACATTTTGCCATGGTCCACCTTGAGGCTGCATCCATCCACTTAAGTCCATTTAGATTTATTTAATTTAAATTAAATCGAATTTGAACTTGAA